GATATATAACATGCCTCCTGTGTGTGCGAGTGGGCTGGCTGCTGGTTAGTGGGGTTAGAAAAAGAATACAACGTACATATAGAAAGTCCCCATCACCTCAGTGGACTGCTTTTGGTGTCCTTTTTTTAATTGTGTTTTTTTTTAAACCTAAAATATGATAATTCTCAGTAGGGATCTTTTCTGTGAAGTATCTGGTGACCTTCCAGGTGTGCCAAACCTGTTTTCATTCACCCATGAGGATTATATGACCATGAATTGAAATATTACCATAACACAAAGTTCACGTCTTTGTTTTTGTCGCTGAAAGGAAGCAGAAAACATGGCCTTTATTACCTGATGGTGAATAAAAGCACTGGAAATGGGTAACATTGGCARAGAGGGCAGCAACGTCCTCCAAAAAGCTCATCGTTTTTTTAGTCTCCATTGTTTAGTAGTTGTTCAGATTCAGGCTCTTTTATGAACCGAATGCTTTAAASTAGTCATTAAATACTTCAGATTTATTTGCTGCCTGAATAAGTTTAAACAAATGTGGTTTATTTCAATATGTTCAGTAAAAGAGAGAGAATAATTTCATGTGATGTTTTATTTTAACGTGTAACACAGTTCTTTGAATTTTGCTCATCAGTCTGTTGATTGATTATAAATATTTTCTGTTGAAAAGAAAACAAAATGCAAAAAAACTGGTTTTACTTGAACTGTTTCAAAGTTTGATTTTGAACTGGTTTAGAAATTAACTTGCTTTAAACAAATACCTTGTATGCCTTGTTTGTGCTCAGAGTATGTGTGGGAGACAACCCTCTGCTGCTACCCAGGGGTGGCTGGCTGGGGTGGGAAGTGCCATCCCTTGCACCTGATTGGCCACCCCCAAAATAATTGACGAGTGGATGGAGATCTTGGATTTTGTATTTGCAGCTGTTTGTTTAAAATGGCTGAATAATAACCTTTTGTAAAATAAACATTAGCGTTATTGGTTAGCTTGGAATTAGCATTGATWATCAACGTGATCATTCTTAGCTACTCCAGGAAATGGGAAAAATAGGTTTCATGGTGCAATGAGGCACTTCCTGGTCACAAAACGTTCTGTAAATGTGCACTAAATGTGTAAAAATGCGCGCATTATGGCAAAACATTATTCATCATTAAATGTGGTTTTAACATTACTTTTATAAAGTTTGAAGTACGTGCTGTCCAATCCAGCTCACTGTTTTTTTACAGAAGCCCTGTGAAAGCATCGCAGCTTTGCCGATCTGAGTGTTAAAAGAAAAAAAATTCCTGTATCCGCATCGTGATCCAGAACATCACCAAAATTTAAAGATGTGTTCCTTGGCCCAGTACCCACATGTGGTAAAAATGTCATGACAATCCGTCCACAAGTTTTTGAGTAATGTCCACAGACAGAATGACAGACAGACATACGCGACCGAAAACATTACCTCCTCGCACTTGGCGAAGGTAATTAACTGGGACAACCACCTTGRATTTTCAAACCCAGAGTGCTTTTCTTTATTTGTATTTCCCCCACCGAAAAAACACCATGGCCCCCTCTGTGCCACCCCTTGCTCCGCCCCTGCTACCACACCAAATTTTAGCTCAGTACCTGAACAATTTATTGAGTCAAAGCCTTCTTTGTGTTTGCTAAGGTCTGTTCGTTGTAAATTATCGGTCTGACTTGAAACATGAATCAGCTGAAGTGTACATCCAGTTTCTGAACATTTCGTTAAAGTTTGAAGTATTTTGCAAAAGCTAGCATCTCACTGGGCTGAGACTGTTGGAAACTAGCTGGCCACTCATAATTGAGAGGAAAATTGATGTCTTTTCTGTTGTGGTCTCTTTGAATTCGGTGAGCCGTGCGGTTCCWTTTAATAACCTTAGCAGGACGTTAGACGAAGCGTTTGCCTGTTTGTCACAACCATTCTTCAGCGAGTCCAGTGTAAAAGCAGGCATTGATTGGCGTCTTACTTAAAACCTCCCTGTAGCTACTTGAATTAAAAAGGCTGAACTTTCTTTTATTTAASCCCCTCAGAGCCTTACCGTACAACAATGGCACTCTTTAAAAACTTCACCAATGAGCTGATCACGTCTCAGAAACATATAAAGACACTTGTTGCTTRGCTTTCAGCACTCTGTGCTGTAATGTTTGGCTGCAGGGATGACTCTGCAGCTACAGTCAGCAGCGGCGTTATTAACCCACAGAGTGGGAGGGGTTCTTGCTGTGGTATTGCATCTTTCTGGCTCCCCTCTCACCTCATCATATTTTGTAACTAAAGAGACAAAGAAAACATTTCAGCTGGAGAGAAGAATCTGATTCACTGCTTTGATGCATCAGCGTCGTACCTCTCGTGTGGTTTGGAGTGCCACGTTGGCCTCATGAGCCCGACAACAGGAAGCTTTTCATCTTTGAAACTTATTAACAGATACTCGTTAAAAAGGAATTACTGCAATTTGGCGAGTCCTCCGTTCACTGAAAATGATCATGAAGGATTTTTGCTCAAGTGGCTGCAAACGTTTCGTCATAATTAGCGAAAATTTATGAGCTTCATTAATCCAGTTAAGGTTGAATTTACTGTAGACACAACTGCTGTGTCAAGAAGTGTTAAAATGATTATGTACTAAGTATTTAGTGACTGCAAATATGACCTGAGAAATGACATTTTCTGTAATGAAAGATGGTAATTTTTGAGCTCATGAAGGTGTTTTTGCTTCTTCTTGTGCAGGAAGTCCATGAAATTCTGAAAGGCTACGAGTTGAAGTACTGCTTTGTGGACCGCAACAAAGGCACAGGTAAACACTGCCTTCCAGCCAGAGCCCAGACACAAAACATCAACGTTTCTGTCATTCTGTTCAAGTGGAATAATTTGAAGTGAACATTTGTCTTTTTAACGTCATTATTTAGACACTGAGAGTCACAGTGTACCGTATGCACAAGATTAGATCGTGCATCAWCAGTGGCGTAACAACAAAAATCTTTCAAAGTGTGACATTTTGTTTTAACACTTTATACTAGTGGATAAAAGTTAAATCTGATCAACAAAATCATTTATTTAATAATCAAGCACAACCACAAGCTTTATATGAAACACAGGTTTTGCACCCTGTAATGTAAAAAAATCTATATATTTAGTTTATGAAAAAAAAAACAAGGTTTTATGGATTTAATAGCACATAGTTATTAATATTATTATTAGCCTTTATTTAACCAGGCAAATCCCATTGAGATCATAGATCTCTTTTGCAAGGGGCCATTGTGCTGCCAATAGTTTCATAATTTTCATTAAAAACTAGGGCTGTGAAATTAAAGGCACAGTGTGTAGGATTTTGTCAATTCTTTTAGCCGAAATTGAGATAATCACTAATGACAATAATAAAAACATGTCTAATCATTGCAGACAAAGACCTTGTTTTATTATTTTTACCTTATAAAAAGCTGTTTATATCTCCATGGTCGCGTGTCACCACTACAGGCAGCCGCCATCTTGTCTACGAAGGCTCATGAAGGACAAACTGCGGTGGCGGCGTCAAAAACGGTTTTAGTTGTWATACTATAAATGTAATATTTGCTGTCTGTCATTGTAGCTGGGACGATTTTACTTATTAAAGCTCATAATCTTACAACTTGAAACATCACTAGCCCTGAAGCTGCTGGTAGACATCGCGGTTGGAATTATCAAAGGTTTTTGACACCTGAGAGACACCGTAGCAACTCCTTTGTGTTTGGAAGTGGGGGGTGGGGGGGGGACCAGGGAGGATGATTCAACCACTCAACCACTAGATGTCGCTGAAAACAACAAATCCTGTCCTGTGCCTTTAAGT